CATTTGAATCGATGCTTCTTCCAAACTCTCATCAAAGAATCTCTAAGTATATGACTTTTAAATACTTTATCAACTTTGTCATCATAAAATAAGTAAGCATGCCATCCAAATTCAAGATCAAAACTTTCTGCATTCAGTATTCCAGCCTTTTTGCTTCCAAACCAATCACTTGTTAAAGTTAAAGCTGCTGCGTCATAATATAGCTGTAGGTTTGAAAGTTTAAGACCTCCTCTTTCTGGAACATCTTGCATAATTTTCAATTTCACTCTCGGCTTCTTCTCGTTCCAGACAAACTTATTCACTCCAGATTGCCAAACTTTCAATTGTTTATCACTTTTAAGCACCGGAATCATTTGAAACAAAAAAAGAAATCTTGGCAAAATATTCATCTTAACTGCTGCTATTCTTCCAAGTAGAGACAGCTGCAGTTTTTTCCAAGTCTCCATATCTTTCTGCACCTCTCGCCACAACACCTCATAGTTATTTTGAAACAATTTCATATTTGATTCTGCAACCTGAACTCCTAGATATTTTACCTTAGGTACAGTCTCAAAACCTGCCCTCCTTTCAAGCTCATGTTTACGATCTTGTGTCATGTTTTTAGCTATCATTTTAGTCTTTTTTGGATTCAATCTAAAACCTGAAACTTTACCATAGTCTTGTATAATGTCCTTCATCAAGATTATTGATTCCATTGGTTGTGATAGGGTAACAACCAGATCATCTGCAAATGCCTTTATTCTGTAATCCTCTTGCCTGATCTTTATACCTTTTAAAATATTAGAGTCCCGTATTGTATTTAGCAAGACTTCTAGTGTTAAAATAAATAAAAGTGGGGACAACGGACATCCCTGTCTTGTTCCTTTTTCAATTTTAAACTCTGTTGTCAGACTTCCATTAATTATGATCTGTGCCTTTTGCTCTTGGTAAATTGCCGAAATCGCCTGTATAAATTGATCCCCAAAGTCCATCTTTTTCAAAGTCTTTAATAGAAAATTCCAATCCACTCTATCAAAGGCCTTCTCTGCATCCAAAAAGACCAGCACTGCAGGGATCTGTTTATTCTTCTCAAGATATTCCAATAAATCTATTACTTGCCTTACATTATCCTTCATATATCTGCCCTCGATAAATCCCGCTTGATCATCATGAATCACCTTTTGAATTACTGGCATCAACCTGTTGGCTAGTACTTTCGCAAAAATTTTATAATCTGTATTCAAAAGAGATATTGGTCTATAGTTCTCTGGTTTTTTAGGACCAATTTGTTCTTTTGGTATCAAAGATATGTAAGCTGTTGTCCATGATGGGGGTATTTTACCCCCTTGCTGAATATTGCAAAATAAATCTCTAAGTTGTTCCACCATTTCAGCTTGCAAAGTTTTGTAATACACTGCAGTCAAACCGTCCGTGCCAGGAGCTTTGGCTGTTTTTAACTGTTTAATTGCTACTATTATCTCCTCCTCTGTTATAGGATAATTCATTCTTTCCTTTTGTTGATCAGTAATTTTTGTAACTCTTAACATAAACATAAATAGCTGGAAGCATACACAATACCTAGCTAATGCAATGTAGAGTGGAAAAATAATTTCCTATGCTTTAGAAACTGTACTTTTATTAAAGTAATTAAGTTGTATTTGCCATTTTTTGCAGTTATATCACACTGCTGATTCATTTTCAGTTTATAATTGCCTACAGTTCCAAGATCCATTTCATAGCTATTGTTACCTAATCTTGTACCCTTTGTATCTATCTGTGCATTTTATTTTATTTTTGCTTGAAGAGCAGTTTTAAATAATTCTTTGGAAATGTGGAACCCTTCTATTCAAGAACAATATACCTTTGGTCATCAGTGTTGGGAAGAGAAAATAAGAAATGGACAGATATTGTCTTTCTATTTCACTTGTGAGTTTTTAGATTGGACTTTACCATGGTGTGTTAAACCAGCCCTTATGGCATACTTCTTATTCTGTGTTCAAGTCTTGTTCTGCCATTTTTAGAAAACAGAGAGACTGATATTGATGAATATCCCTTCTTAACCTTTGTACACCTGACAAAAATTCAAGTACCAAGTGCTCTTCTTTCAATGGACGTATCTTTTGAGTATTTGGTGGAGAACATACACACACAAACTAGACCAGTGATGGCTAACCTTTTCTGGACTGAGTGCCCAATGCATTTCCTAACCCCCAAAATGCAATGCATGCGCAGCCCCGGTGCATGCATGTGCCCCCTGCACACATCCTGTGCATGCATGCAGGGCCCCCCATATGTGCCCCATGCATGCACGTGCAGCTCCTACCCATGCCCCACCCCCATGTATGGGCATGTGGACCTCCGCATGCCCCCTGCCCCCTGTGCATGCGCAGCAGAGACCTGAAGACCAGCTGGCCGGCGGGAGGCGCACGCGCATGCACGGCGGAGCTGAATTGGGGTGACAGCTTGCATGCCCACAGAGAGGGCACTGCGTGCCACCTCTGGCACACGTGCCATAGGTTCGCCATCACGGCACTAGACCAATGTTTCTCAACTTCAGAATGTTAAGATGTGTGTTGAACTATACCCATTTAAAAATTGTTGAGGTTGAGAAACACTGCAATAGACAGGTCTTCTGTTTTCTTGGCAAAACTCAATTTCACCTGATTTGGAAATTGCTCCTGTTCCCACTGCTTTTTTTCTTGTACATGGTCAATCTATTTCTCTGTTTAGGAAATATTTCTAAAAGGATGATCCAGCAGGTCGTGGGTTATCTAATTTGCTTTAAAACCCTATTGCAAAGAACTTAAAGAATCAGGTATGAATAAATTAATCTCCTTTGGAATGTCCAGGGCTTACCTTCTGAAATTTGCAACTGCTTGTCCCCTCTTCTCTAAATAAAGGCACCACCTGCCCTTTTGCTGAGGTTAGCAGGAAGTGCAGGTCCACACTGTGTTTAATTAATTATAGTCTGATTCAAGAAGGAAACCCCTGGAAGTTCTTTTTAGAAAACAATTGCCATTCCTTTCACTCCCAACTATCCTAATCTACATAAATTAAAGTTATTGGTAACTCAGTATGATGAAGTCCAAGATAACTACATAAAATCAAGTTAGAAAAGGCTGATCTGCAGCCATGGATGTCTGTAATTACAAAGGCATATGAACCAACTCATATAATAGTGTCATAAAGATGCATAAGAAAAGAGAATGGAGCTCTGCAGCAGGATTTGTATCCCCATCTAGAAATGCAAATTTTCTATATCTTCTGCTGTGTTATAAAGAAATGTGCATATCAGACTAAATGGGAGGGTGGATACTTTTGCACTTCTATGTCCAAATTTGTGTGTTCATGCTTTATAGAAAATTCAAATTCTCTCATCATTTGTTCTGAAAAACCGTACCATAACTCTCATCATTCTCAAAAAGAATAGCTGTAAGCATGCTGGTTGGGGATGATGGGGAGTACAATGCAACTCCTCTCAGGGCATCAGGTTGGGTAATGCTGCCATGTGCACATAATGAACAACTGCATTCATTTTGGTATAAAACTTATCTAAGAAACCCTGAAGATAAAGTCTGGCTTAGTCCACACCTTGTTTCCACTAGTTAAATCAACTGGAAGGTGACTGGAAGTTCTTTTCCAGCAGACAAATGTCTGGAAAATTCCAATGTCAAAATAACCAATAGGATTCTGGGGAAAAAACTATGACCAAGATGTGCATAAAGATATAATAGCACAAAACCCAATGCTAAGGGAAGAAAATAGAGGCAAAGGGGAGATCTTATTGTCCCAGTAAAACATAATCTGTTTTCATGGAACTTGAATTGATGCCAATAGTACAAAAAGTCACATAGAATCTAAATTCATACAGGTATTAATGGGCAAGCAAAATGTAAACTGGCCTAGAACCTTCTCATTTACCCAATTGTTTGGTACTAAATTGCTTCTTTAATTTTATTTAAAGATTTTAGATCATGTCCATAATAAGCAATTGTCTAAATCACTGACAGGAACATAAAAGCAGACCATCATTAGAGAAAATGTATGCGCTAATTCTTTATTTACCCCATATCTTATTCCTGTGCTAAAGAAAATCAATAGATTCACTTAATTATGTAGAGATCATACATTCTATAATGTCTCTAGCCCCCAGTAAAAGAACCAGTGAGGACTCCCATTCTTTGCCTATGTCCTAGAAGTTCTAACTAAAAAAAAGATGCTTTCCTGATCTTTCTGAAAAAAAGAAAAGAAAAAGAGGACAAAAATGAAAAAGGGAAGGGTATAGAGATCTCAGCAAACTTTCAGCAATGTATACAGATTTGCCTCCTACTAATTAACATATATTATAGAAAACTCCCTCTGGACAGTCAGTCCAACTACTCTACATCTCTAACAAAATGAAAACATGCATATAAAAACCATTATTTTCACCATATACTTCACCTATTCCTATTCCTACACAGTCCATTTATCCTTAAACATGTATACCATACCAGAAATATTTTTCACATGTGCATGAACACAAGCAAAAAAGGACCAATTTGGCATGCCTATTCACATACCAGGTACAGAGTTAGAGAAGATACTGACACCAAGTACAGCCCTAAAAGTTCGCTACGACTGGTGCCTGTTTGATGGACCTGCCTGCTTTGAAATTTTGTTTACTCCAAGCTATTTCAATCCTCAAATGAACACTGAATAGCAAGAAAATACCATGGCTTCCATTTCTCTCATCCAAGACTGGCTTTGCTGCTTCTTCCCTGAGCATGCATCCAAAATCATGTCCTTTGGCTGCTTCCACCCCATATGGGCTGTGCTCTGTGCCCCATTTCTATATCCTTTAGCATCCATTTAAAGTCCTCCAGCAGAACCTCTGCAAGTATCGTCACTATGTAATAAAATATTTAACTACTCATTATTCTGATTAGAATGATCATTTTCACTAAGTAAAGCAGACTCTGATACCAGCCCTGGAAGTATGGAATTACTTCCCTCTCCCTCCCACTTTCCCTGTACATTACCTTCCAAGGAGACAGGCTCAAAGAGCCCAAATTGCTCCAGCACTTTAATGAAGAGGACCAGAACCACCAAAACAGCGATCATCTCCAGACCTTCCAGGTTCATGGTGAGAAGGACTCATGGCATCCAGCCCCCAGCCCAACCCAATCTGTTCCCTCACCCCAAGTTAGCCAGGGCTACCCACACGGTTGTGGATTCTTGCATCCTATGCCTCTGCTTTCAATCCTGCTGTGTAAGATCACTCTGCATCAGAATCTGTACTAGGGCATCTTTGGCCCTCCCCAAAGGACTTTGCCTAAAGAAGTCACAGAGGAGAAGAAGGAGAGGGAGTTTGCCCTTATTAGCTCAGAGGCTTGGACTCTAAGCTACATTTGCTTGGCTTACAAAGAAGAAAAAAGGCGGGAGGGAGTGTGGCAGACCAAAGAAAGCTTATATGAACAGAAGGGAAGCGAGATGTGCAGCAGGAGCCCTGCCCTCCCATCCCATTCCAATGACACCAACTAAATCGATTTGCTTAATGCAGTTGCTAAGGAGATGGGAGAGTTAAGAGGATCTTGGCTTACACTCAGGGAGGTGGAGTATAATTGGGGAGGGAGTGTTATGCAGAGTCCCTCCCTTGTGTGACACCTCAGTATATCAAATCCCAGCTCTCCACTGAGAAGAGACTTGGGCCTAGATTGACTGCTCTGGTACAACTCCTGGGGCAAAGGAAAGAACTTAATGTCCTGCAAACTTTCAGAACAGTCTCAGCACTCTGCTTATCATGCATAATTCCTTCATACCCAGCCTACCCAGACACCAATATCTTATTACATGTGGCCTCTTCCCAATCCTTCTTCCTGTTGTTCTTCATAATCCTTTTAGACAAATTCTCCATTATTTCAAGTATTTTTGCTATCTCACCTGGGGGAGAGACAACAATACTACTACTTCAAACTAGTTAAAATAAAATAAAATAAAATCCATCAAAGTCAAAGTATCAATGATAAACACAGAGGAAACCCCAGCAGACTTTTTTAAAGAACTGACCTCTATGGAAATACTGCAGATTTCAAGGTTTCCTCTTCAAAAATGTTTCATTAACAGTTAAAGAGATAACTGACTGGGGGAAGATGTTATAAATGGCAATAGGGAGATATATTTCTTCATGTTGCTTCAGCTGCTATCTGTAAATTAATATACAAAATACACAATACCAAAAATTTAAAAGCTGCCACTTCTGCAGCATGGTTAAAGGAAATTGCCAAAAAAAAAAAAAAGAAAAGCGTTCGTCAATTCTTTAAGCACAAAATGTGCCAAACATTTGTAAGATTTCCTTCTTGTTCACCTGCCAATTACTTCTATTTCAATTTTTTACAGCATGATAGGAAAAACATAAATTGTTGTTATTGTATGGCTACAGATGTACTGAAGTGTCTGCAGTCCCAAGATTTTCTAATTACCAGCCTAACTGACACCTGATTCAGTATGCTGAAGGATCTGCCTGCACCAAAGTCAAGAAAAATGCCAGGCCTGGTGCCAGGATTCAGAAAAAGGAGGAGGCTCTACCCAGACTATGCACATCACTCAGATAAACATAGCCCAGGGGAAGCTGCCAGGCTGGCATTGGCGTCAGCTCTGCAGGCAGAAGAAACTTAAAACAAGAGCCCCAAATCTGGAAGGCAGGAAGAAGGCAGTGGTGCCCCACATCACAAAAGCTGACTTCAGTTGGTTATTATCTCTTGAATAGTTTTACTCTCCGGTTACTAACACATTACAAAAATCACAAAAATAGGAGGAAGAGGAGGAGGAAGAATGGAGTAGAAGTGAAGATGCTGGCCTAGAAATAGGGAGATTGTGAGTTCTAGTCCCACCATAGGCATGATGAGAGTCAGCTTGGTGACTTTGGGCCAGTCACTCTCTCTCAGCCCAACCTACCTCACATAGGAAGAGGAAAGAGTATTAGGTACACGTTCATACCTTTGAATTACCGATAAAGTAATAAAGACTGGATTTTAAAAAAATCTTTTAAAATGCCTTTAAACATTGGAAAAATGAGTGACCGGATAGGTAGGTAGGTAGGTAGATCTTCACTTTGTTTTTTGCCAAATTTTTTAGATGTTCCAATATCAAGAATTGGATGTTACATTGACGAGGTTGGCTGATGAAGCCAAAGGAAAGCCATATGTGAAAAACATAAACTGAGATATAGTAAACCTTAAATATATGCAGAATAATTATAATAACCATACCTGTATGGAAGATGCAGCAGATAGCCTGTTAGAATAAGTAAAATAAGAATGTAAACCTGGAGCATCAGTAGTTATAAAACTTAAGTTTGAGGAAGCAGGCCTTTTTGCCTGGAAGATGAATACTGAATTGGTACTGAAAGACGTCGGAACACCTGATTTTCTACCTAGTGCACAATAGCAGTGCAAATATGTCTTTACTACAATAAAGCAGCTTGTTTTCTGTTCCTTTGCAACACTCGTTACGTTATTTAATTTTAATCCTATGTAGTGACGTAAGGTACACGATATAAGTATAAAACATCCACAGTAATTCTAATCATAAAACCAAATGAAAACAGGGACTTTTTACATAAAGTAAAAATAAAAATGCTGCCTACCTTCTACATTTTTCATGAATTGCAATTTCCAAATACTTTTAAAGAGTTGCTCCATTTACAGTTTATTCTGGTAATCAAGAAAGGAAGTAAAGAAAGCATGAAACTTAATGGAGTCTTAATAGTTTCATTTAAGGGATTCTGAGTCTTTGTATCTTCCGCCCCACCCAGCTGCTTTTTCTGTGGATTTTTTGGTATTCTCTGAGCTTGGTTGTTTGCTTGCAAATGTTTTGTTACCAGACTAGGTAACATCTTCAGTGATAGAAATGAGTGGGGTTTGCTCTCTGTTTATATACCGCAACCTGCTGTTAGTGTTGATGGGGTGCTGCTTTCTCCTTGGTAGTTCCTTCATTAGGCTGTTGTTTACTGCTTGAGCTACGTATGTTCTCTGCTATTTCTTTTCCTGTACCAGTTTTGGCTAAGGTCCAGGGAGATGTAGAAGATGGCATGAACAGCAAGAGTCAATGTTGCAGCACAGAAAGATCATTGCCCCTGCATTCTAGTCCCTTCTGTCCTATCTGACTTTTCTTCTTGTTCCCATTGCTGACCAAGCACGCTCAGCCTGGTCCTTTGTGAGGCAGCTGCCGGCCACGGGAGGCTTTCTTCCCCATGAAGATGACCTCACATGACCAGCAGTTGCTTTGCAAAGGGCTAGGGCAGGCACGCCTGTCAGCCGCAGGAGCAATAACACCGCAAAATTCAGCTGGGGAGGCCGAACGCAGGGTGGTGAGGATGACTGGGACTGGGCTGGGGCTTTCCAAGGTGGATGTGGCTTTGTGCCATGCTGCTGGGGCTGGCTGAGACTTTCTGAAGAGGCTGCAGCTTTGTTCCGTGCTGTTGAAATGGTTGGAGCTTCCCACAACAGCTGCGTGTTTTGTGCCATTGCTGTTGGGGAAGGCTGAAGTTTCCAGGGGTGGCTGTGGTTTTGCACCACACTGCTGGGGTGGGCTGAGATTTCTTGGGGCAGCTGCAGCTTTGTATCATGTTGCTGGGGTAGGCTGGGGCTTCCCAGAGTGACTGCAATTTTGCACCCTGCTGCTAAGACAGCAGGGGCTTCTTGGGGTGACCACAGTTTTGCACTGTGCTACAATTTAGGGGCTTTTTGTACCTCCAGATTAGCAACACACTAAGAAACCACTGATCCTCAGTAAGCAAACAGCTCCAGAGCCATGCAGGAAGAGATGACGGGGAGGGGGTAGAATAGGCAGTTTGGGGGATTTCAAAAGTAAACAGTCCCTTATCTTTCTCAGGGCTGAGAGAGGCCAAGCTGGAAATGGCTTGGATTGGAGTGAGTCCTTGCCTAAATAGTGGTAGAATTGGGTTAACAATGGGCAACAGGAAGTGCCAGGATTGTTGTCACTAAGTGATGCGATTACATGACATTGCACTTTAACACTGCATCACCTAGCAATGGAAATGTGGATCCCAATTGTGGTCATAAATTAAGGACTACCTATAGAGGAAGGGGATTACAGAAGAAGATCTAAAAAGTTGCATGTTGTATGTACCACAGACAAAAGAAATTTAGACATAATGGCTGCATTCAAACAACAAAGAAAGCCAGTTTGGTCTATGGTTAAGGCACCAGCCTACAAACCCTTAGGCATGAAAGCTTGGGCCAAGTGATTTTTGGGCCAATCACTGTCTTTCAGAATAACTCGCCTCATAGGATTGTTCCAGGGAAAATAGGAGGAAGAAGGTGTATTGGGTATATTTACCATCTTGAATTATTTATGGAAGTAATAAAGGTTGGATAAAAATAAAATTTAAAAAATCCTGATCATGAAATTAATCTATTTTTTAGATTCACGAAACACATTGAAAATAACTAACCAGATATGCCAAATTTATAGAACAATTAAAGTGTTAACTATAAATTAAAACAAAAATCCAGCAATAGCATTAATCAAATTTAGCATATTGTACAAATGTAGCTGCTAGGGAATCCTTTGGTCCAGAAATACCTGAGCAACTTGTGATATATTATTGCAATACTGTCTATCCTGACAGGTTATCCCATGGTAACTGATTGCTGTTTGTTAGAGTCAAGATCTAAACATTAATAAGCTAGCTCTTAATGTTTCATTCTTCAGCTATTTATACTATCAATATCGTATCTGGATTCTTTACCAGGGAAACAGGTACATAGAGATATATCTAGAGCAGGGTGGCCTCTTGTGGCCATCTGGCAGAGCCAGATGCAAGATGAGCAAGAAAAATTAGTGGTTTGGAAAAAAGATAACTGCTTAAAATAGAAAAGGAAGGTAATTGCTATCTATCCACACCATATCATTTATTCCTCCACATTTTTTATTCAGGCTGCAGTTTTATACTATTTATCTATCCTGGGAGAAGTGGAAAAACTAGAAAGCCTGCTTTCTTCTCAATAGGTATGCATAGGAATGAATGCCTGTAAATCCAGACTGCAATTCAAAACTCAGTTACTCAAAAGTAGGCAGAGGTGAATTCTAAGTAGACCTGTGGATGATTGGGCTAGTGCTAGAATTTCATCTAGGTACAAATTGCAGTTGGCTTATGAGAATAAAGAAGCAAGGAACCGGTGATTTTCTGTTTTCAAAAATATAAAATGCAGCCATTTATCTAGCCTGCTGGTATCTAGTACCAGCAGGCTTACAGGTGTAATTCAAGATGCTGGCTGTCACCTCATGGCCTAAGGACCGGTTATCTAAGGGACCGTGTGTTTCCATAGTTTCTGCCTGACCTGCATGATCAGGCAGATTTGGCATGTTCCTGGTCCCATCTGTTAAACAGTGTCATCTGATAGGATCTAGGAAGCATGTCTTTTCTGTTCCAGCACCTGCCCTCTGGAAAAACATTTCCTCTGAGTTCCATCTGGCTACCACCCTGTTCATGTTTAGCTCTGCCTCAGGACTTTGATTACATTGAATGGTGGATTCTGTATACTGTACTGTTTTTAGAATGGATGATTGCTTTTCTTCCCAACATCCGTGTTTTTTATATATATATAATATTTGGTAAAGATTTCATTATTTCTATCATTCGGAATGATTCTAAAGTTGGATAGCCTTATAAAATACATACATACATACAACTTCTGATGTTATGAAATTACCTTGGAGCTCTTCTAGTGCAGCTTCCTGCTTTGAGTAGGTATTTTTATACTATCCTAAACAAATAGCTATCCAAACTTTGCTTGAAAACCTGCAATGATTGAGGACTCAAAACTCCAGTAGGTAGGCTGTCCACTGTTCAATAGATCTTGCAGCCAGGAAATTCTTCCTTATTTTAAGTTTGGATCTCTGTCTGTAAAGCTTCTACCCATGATTCTTGTCCTCAGGAATCATGGAGAATGGTCTATATCTTCTACCTTGTGACAGTCCTTCAAGTATTTGAAAATTACTATCACATCTCTCCTTAGCCTTTAGGCTAAGTATATCTAGTTTCTTAAAACAGTTCTTCATAGGAGCCTCCAAACCCCTCACAATCTTTCATCATGTTTTATTGTATTTTCATGACCAGATCTGGAACCCTGTATTCCATATGTTAGTTAGTTCCATAACTGAGGCTTAAAATTTAAAGAATAATAATTGTGCTATGCAAGTCTTGTTGATGGGACAATTGAAAGAGACTTAGAGGCAGTGTCTCGCCCCCAAACAGCAGAGGTCCTCTTGGCCTAGCCCTGCTATTAGCACAGGCACAGGAGGCAGAAAGAAATTCAGAATTATATATAAGAAGTATCCCCTCAAACAGTCACATAACCTTTTGTACATGATTCATCCATTCTACACTCCCAGGAGGAGAAACTTTTGCAAAATATTGCACAGAATATACAAGGAAGGCATAAAGAAGGTATCAACATGAAATTACTTGTATCAAACAGCAGGACTTACGACCAAAATTGAGCCCAAAATTTATGTTGCTAAGTGAGACATTTGTCATCATTGTCTCAGTTATATTTGTTAAAATTAAGTGAATTTTACCCCATTTTACAGCCTTTCTTGCCACAGATGTTAAGTGAATCACTGCAGTAGTTAAGTTAGTAACATGGTTGTTGAATCTGGCTTTCCCATTGATTTTGCTTGTCAAAAGGCCGCAAAAGGGGATCACATTTTATTTTATTTTATTTTATTTTATTTTATTTTATTTTATTTTATATTTTATTTTTTTATTTTATTTTATTTTATTTTATTTTTTTATTTTATTTTATTTTATTTTATTTTATTTTATTTTATTTTATTTATATGCCGCCCTTCTCCGGTGACTCAGGGCGGCTTACAGTGCGTTAAGCAATAGCCTTCATACTTTTGTATATTTATACAAAGTCAGCTTATTGCCCCCACAATCTGGGTCCTCATTTAACCTACCTTAGAAAGGATGGAAGGCTGAGTCAACCTTGAGCCTGGTAAGATTCGAACCTGCAGAAATTGCAGCAGCTGTGTTAATTACAGGGTGCATTAAACCACTGTACTACCAAGGCTCACATGACTTTGAGACACTGTGACTGTCATAAATATCAGTCAGTTGTCAAGCATCTGAATTTTGATCAGGTGATTATGGGGAAGCTAATGGTCATAAGTGTGAAAACTGGACATAAATCAGTTTTTTCAGTGCCATTGTAACTTTGAATGGTCACTAAATGAATAATTGTAAGTTGAGGACTACCTTTACAATACCGTCTACTCAGTGGTAAAATCCTCCGCAGGTTTCCATTGGTTTGCTGCCCACGCATGCGCAGTGCACCCCAAATGCATGCTTCATGCAGGAAAAGGAGCCTTTTGAAGGTAAGTAGAACAGCGAGGGGAAGGAACAGCTGTGCCGCGTGATTTAGATTAGCTAGAAAGCAGGATTTCCTGCTTTCTAGCAAATATAAATCGTGCGGCACAGCTGATCATCAGAAATACCAGTTTGGATGAACCGGTAGCTTTTTTTTACTACCGGTTCACCCGAACTGGCTCGAACCGGTAGCATTTCAGCCCT